CTGACTTGCAGGAAGCACAGCCAAGCAAGGGTGACATGGGGTGAACAACCAGCTGGATTGACATCTGTCCTGGGCAAAGGGACAGCTTGGTTAGTCAGTTTGGCTTGATTAGATCCAGTGTGTGTTCAGAGAGTTCTGCTGAAGGAGTGTGAAGGGCTTTCTGCTGGGGGCTGCAAACATGGGTTTGAAATGCCTGTGGGGCTAGTGGTCTCTTGTTTACACTAGACCCAGTCAGGCCCTTGTGCTTTGGCTTCAGACACTGCACTTCTTAGAGAAGCAAACAAAAGGATGTCAAGGCAAAGCTGTAGGAACTGCATCACATTTCTGATGACCTACCCAGTTGCCCATGGGAATCAGTGATGTATCTGCCAGCACTTGACTGTGCTGATTTCCAGACATCTTTACAGATCACACAACTTTAACAAGTGGGAGAATTGACTGCTTTCAGCAACACAGCACCTGGGTAGATGCATTCAGCTGGTGATGTTCAGCCCTGCTCTTACTGCCTGGACTGTCTTTCTATCCCCTGTAGTAGAGTACTTTATGCATCCAGACTTGGATGCAAATTGGGAATAAGACCATTGCTCATAGAGGTGTTTGTCTCACCTTTGGCTCCTCAGGGGGATATTCAGCATAAATGGGAATATGGCATCTGCAATCTTACAGGAGTTGCAGGTGGGAGACCTGTCCACTTCCACTGCGAGGGACAACATCCTCTGGAGCAGGAGAATCACCCTGGGTTAGAGAGACAGTCAGCACTGGGAGATGCTGCCCCTTGGTTTGCCAAGCAAAGTGTTAGGGATGGCCCCTAGTTCTGCCTTGTGCGTGCAGTGAGGGATGTAGGGGAACGCAGACAGCTAGATTTGGTGTCTGTTGGTAGCTTTTGAATCTGATGCTCTTGGAAGCAGAGCTAATCCCCAGACTTGCCCACAGGATGTCTCAGTGGCTGTACTGAGTGTTGCTGGAGCAGCACAGGAGAGCCCAAGCTGTTGCTCCAGCCTTATGGAGCATGCAAGTGGATGACACTGACCCAGTTTCCTACCACGTGAGGATCTTTTGCTCTCCAAGTCTGTGTCTAACCCTAAGGAGAACCAGCAAATCTGGTCACAGGTACAGCCTGGTTTCCCTGGCCTGACAGACACTGGCTTCTCCCCAAGTTGGACCCACGGTAATGCCAGCAGGGAGTTAGGAGTTCTGGGGCTTACTTCTGGGTGAACCAAGCAGTTGGAGCCTGGTCTGTGCTGGACAGCCTTGGTGCAGATGAGCTGTGTTCAGCCCTGGCTACTGCTGAAGAGGAGAGAGGTTCCTGCAGCTGCTCCTGGGGCTGGGAGAACTGAACTCCTGTAACGGCTGCAACCAACCATTCAACCACTTCCCTGGGACAGAAACAGGAATTTTAGTGGGGACAGGCCTGGTTTTGCTGTGCTCTGACCTCTAGATCCATGAAGACCCTGAAGATGAAGAGTACATCCCACCCACTTGGACAGGTTAGGGAGTAGTTCTACCGAGCAGCTCAACGGAGGAGTTCTTTTGCTTTGCACACTTGATCACGACAGCCTCCTTCTCAGTCCTGTCCTGAGCAGTTGCAAATCGAACCTTATTACTGGGAAAAGCCCTCTAGGTTGTGGTTGAAAACCACCATCATCTCTGGTGGTTTGCTTTGGTAAACATCCTCCTGTTTTTTGTATTTGGCCCTACTCTGTCTCCCAGTCTTGCTTCCCGCAAAGTCTGACCTGGAGTCTGCACAAGTGTTCCCTGAGCCCCCACCTCTAAGCTTCTGGTTGGAGAACAGGGAGGAGGAGGAGGTGGAGGTGTCCCTTACTTGACATTGTTGAAGCACATGTCACATGAAAGTACTTTCTTGGCAATTGACTTCTGTAGCAGGTGCAACTTCAGATTCCGCTGGAAGTCATCCTCCAGGGTCTGCACCACATACTGCAGGAAGAGGAGCTGTCCAGGAGGCTTCTCCTGAGGGCAGATGGAGAGGGTATGAGCCTGGCAGAGCCACTGGGTGAAGAACACCAGGGAATTTGGCTCTCAGGAACTGACAGACGTACATGACTGAGGAGTAGCTCAGGAGGGGCTGCCTGGCTCAGGCAATGCCCTTAGGGGCACTGCTGGACCTGTTCTGCCATTGCACTAGTGCTGTGACCCACAGAGGCTTTATCTCTTGCTGTGCCTTCTTCAGTGAGACAACCTGCCTACAGCTGTGTAGAGGGTTAGGGAGCACTGAGGATAAATGCAGGATATAGAACGGGCACTTGCTGCCCTCAGCAACTACAGTAAAGCTGCATGTTAGACTCGTCCACTCTGCAGCAGAGCACAGCCATGTGAGGCCCTGGCAACGCTGAGCCTCAGCACCCTGAACTGGATGATCCCTGCCCAGCGTGACACACACAAGTACCTGGTCCTCCATGGTGAATTTCAGCAGTGTCCAGTCCCATCCCACTGTGGCGGCGCTGGCTGGATGGAGCCTGCAAGGACAACTCTGTACATTTGTGCTGAACTGTCTGACCATCTGCCTGGAGGCACAACAGCCCTTCCCCAACCCTTCCCAGCCCCTTCTCTCCATCTTTGCCTTCACCCTTTCTCCTCCCCTGACCACACTAATCCTTGGGAAGCTCCTGACTGGGGCTGTACTCCACGGAGATAACCAGAACTCCTGGGCCCATGGCTTCACAAAACATTGCGCCTCTCCACGGGAACCCAGAGGGCAGTGAGGGAGCTGCTCCAGCCACCTCCAGCCCAGGGCACTGCTGCAGCCCAGGGAAATAATTTCTGCCACGTCACAGCAGTGAAGAATGAGACTTGTGGTTCAGGGCAAGACAAACACACTCCTCTGTCCCCAAGGACTCCCTGGCATCATGGGCTGTCCCTGACCCACCCTCAGAGAGCTCAGGGTGTGTCTGTCTTGGCACGGGCAGGAGGATCATCTTGGTTATAGGGGAAATCACTCTCTGCTTTGTGAGTGAGCATCATGGAGAGTAACCTTTATGCTGGGCAGGCCCCTTGGGGCACCTAGCCAGCCCCAGGGCACTGTGACAAGGGGAACACATACATTTGAATCTTCATCAGCAGCATGTAGGTGTCCTTCAGGATCATCCCTTCATGGGGGTTCAACAGGATCTGTCTGATCAGGTGGGAGATGATTTCTTTGGGGGGACAGTGCTGGCAGGAGACGAACTCATTCAGGAAATGCAAGGTGCCCTCCAAGAAGTCTTCCTCCATGGTGGTGTGCACCATGCTCAGCTTCCCACTGGAAATGGACTCAGGTTTCTGCTGTGTACAAGGCAAGGCAATGGATGAAAGATGTCTCCCCACAACACAGAGCAACCCAGCTGTGCTGCGGGGCTCACTGTGAACTGCAATAACCAGAGATCCCAACTGCCTGGCAAAGCTTCCCCCAAAGAGTGAGGGGAACAAGGGCTGCCCTTGCTCCATCCTCTACCACAGGGGCTGCTCTGAGCAGGCTCCAGCTGAGCTTGGCAGAAGCTGCCTTGAACCCTGTTTACCTGCTGTGTTTCCCTGTTGGGTGCTACGCCTGGGAGGAAGAGGTGCTGGAGTCCACTCCTCCTGAAATATTGCAGTTTGTCCAGCCAGGCTTTGCTGTCAGCCTCAGTCCTGGCTGGGGTCACTTGCTGGATTGGTTTGTGTGGTGGTGGTAAGTCACTTACTTCCAGCAAAGGCCCTTGAGCCTTCCCTGGGGTTGTGGAAATGTCTGTGACAGGGCTTAGCCTTGGGGGGAGGTCCTCTTCCTGGAAGATGTGAGGAAGATCTTCCTCTGGGTCACCAGCAATCCAGCTGCTGTTGCTGTCCAGACTGGGGGGAGAAGGGGACAGGGATGGGGACAACAGGTCGGAGTCCAGCTGCATGCTGGCCAGGGAGCCCATGTCACTGTTAAAAGTGGTAGTGCTGCAGTCCTGCTCCGAGCTGCAGGAGCTGTGGCAGCTGGAGGCAGAAGAGAGGCAGCTCCAGTCCTCCATGCCTTCTGCCATGTCCGTGGTGGCACTGGGTTTCACAGGAGTGCTGTACCAGGGTGGTGCAGGGCTCGGCTCTGTCATTGCATCCGTTTCTTGCTTTGTGGTGGTGCAGAGCCAGGGATGGAACATGTGTGCTTCTGGGGCAGCTGGTGCCTGCCCAGGGAGCTGGTCAGCACAGCTGGTGGGGTGGGGAGGGCTGCACGTATCCTCCGTCAGGTCGATGACCACGAGGCTGCTCAACGGGGTCAGGTCTGTGCTTGTGTCCTCACAGGTCAGATCGATGATATCCTGTGTGGACAGAGGGGGCAGTGCTGTCAGTGACAGTGGCACCTGGGTGTTTTGGTCCTCCCCTGCCAGGAGCCTCTGCTATAGCAGTGGGTGGCAGTGTAGCCCCAGCCTAGGGGAGAAAAGGGGCTCAGTGGCACCAGCCAAGGAAGAGAAAGTAGGAGCAAAGACCCCATGGCTGGCAGAGGGGATGGGGCTAAATGGCCCTGAGTTTTGGGGTCAGCCTCCCCTGGCAGCACAGCTGAGCCTGAGCCAGGCTCTTCTTCCCCACTCCCCCAGGGCTCCTTATGGCAAACAGTCACGTCCTCTGCTCCAAATGCTCCTTGCCTTGGGCCAGAGCCCATTTCCCATGGCAGGAAAGCGCCAGTCTGTTGGGAAAGGTGAAGGTTCCGCGCGGGGAAGCAAGCGGCCGACTCCGGGTGGGGGATAC